TGTGTCGTGCGCTCGCGTATGTGACTTCCCACACGTTCTCCCTACAGAAGGGAACAATGTGGTCAGGGTCATGAATTCTTAGTTGGTCCTTGTTGTTCCTGTACCTCCCATAACCCACTCCCTGGTTGATTGTCTTGCTAATGGCATTAGCCAAGACTACCTGGCATCACGAGGTTTGCTTGTAGTTAATGTAAACTTGTTATAGGAACTTGCGGTCATCTGACTAGATACTGGTGTATTACTCCTCCTATTGTGGTCTGCCTTATAAATGCTTGTAAGATGTAGAATAAAATCGGTACTGTTGGGCATCATCCTCAGTGCTCCTCCTGCCCCCATCTCTTTGTCTCTTAATTTCTTTTCACCATCCTTTTACCCTCACGTTCCTGGTCGATTTGTCGTGCCGGCCCCAACAAGAAATGATGAAGCAACGGCAGGAAACGTTATTTTTTCCCCTTATCAACCTTGATGTAATAGAATATTTCAAATGCTTTCTCACCCTTAAATATCTTCATGCTTGGAAATACCAGAATTTGTGTCTAAAGGTATGCTTTAGGATATCTGGACTTTGTTTTTATTTTTATTCAGGTGTTGGATTAAAAGTAATTTAGTGTTCTGAGATTTACCACCCTAGGTTTTCGTCAGGCAAATAGTGTCTTCTGTAGGAATACAAGCTACTGATAAGATAATAAAAAGATGCATATATTTTATTGACGAATGATGTGTGTATGGCTCTTGGTGCTTCAAAAATATATGTATTAATATCCATGGTCTTTCTTCCCATTATAATTTACAATGTGGATAATTTGTTAGGATTTTGTATTATTCCTGAAAGATAATAGTGACAAAAATCTTATCAGATTTTTATTGGTAGAAATTGAATATTCAGGGGCACATGGGTGGCTCAGCTGGTTAAGCCTCTGCCTTCAGCTCAGGTCATGATCCCAGGGTCCTGGGATGGAGCCCACATCAGCTCCCTACTCAGCAGGGAGCCTGCTTCCCCCTCTCCCTCTGCCTGCTGCTCCCCCCCAACACTCTTTCTCTGTCAAACAAACAAACCAAATATTCAAACATAGCTCTTTTTTTTTTTTTTAAGATTTTATTTATTTGACAGACAGAGATTACAAGTAGGCAGAGAGGCAGGCAGAGGGGTGGGGGTAAGCAGGCTCCCCGCTGAGCAGAGAGCCCGATGTGGGGCTCTACTCCAGGACCCTGGGATCGTGACCTGAGCTGAAGGCAGAGGCTTTAACCCACTGAGCCACCCAGGTGCCCCCAAACATAGCTCTGTTTGATGAAATAAGTACTGTGTTATTTTTAAGTAAAATTTTCAGTTCATTTCACTGATGCGCATTACACTCTTAAATGCCATATTTTATTTATTTATTTATTTAAGAGATTTTATTTATTTACTTGACAGAGACAGCCAGAGAGGGAACACAAGCAGGGGGATTTGGGGAGGGAGAAGCAGGCTCCCTGCTGAGCAGGGAGCCCAATGCTGGGACTCCATCCCAGGACCATGGGATCATGACTTGAGCTGAAGGCAAACACTTAACAACTGAGCCACCCAGGAGCCCCATAATGTTCCAAAGTTTCCTTTTATTTAGGTCAAAATCCAAACTAGGGGTTTCGTTTATTCATTTTAGGAACATTTTTCAATCTCTTACTGAATAAGAACATTGTACTTATTTATTCTTATTCAAAGTTTGCTAAGGATTGGCAGAATTTTCCCATGTATTATCAATAAGATGGGCATAAGAACAAAAACAAGTTTTCAAGTTTCTCTTTAACCTGGTTTATCTGTTTATCTTTTTGTTTCTATTCATTTACTCATGCATTGCCTCTGATATTTATCTAACTTGACTATCTTTTAGGTACCAGAGACCACTTCAGTGTTACTTCTTTCTTAGCTGTTCTTATTTATTCTGTACATAATGGCTTCTGCCTTTGAGTCCCAGTTGTAGTTATAGATAGTAGTATGTACTGAACATTAATCCACCTAGGTAAATGTTATTTGTCCTGACCAAAGAAGGCTGAAAATTATTTGAATAATTATTTTCTCAGTGCTCTCAAGAATATATAATTACTACTATTCTGGTTACCTAAGAGAAATGTTATTTCATTACATACAAAAAATGCCTTAGGTAGTGGTTCTCAAAGTATACTCCCAGACCCTCACCTCTTCAGAGGTCCAAAAGGTCAGAAATTATTTTCTTAACAGTTCTAAGAAAGTATCTGCCTTTTTGTTCCCATTCTTTAACAAGTCTGTAGTGTTTTCCAGAGGCTGCATGGTGTATAATACTAAAGTAGACTGACCACAGAAGCAGATATGAGGATTTATCCTCTTCTGTTCAACACATTAAAGATATTTGCAAAGAGCTACAACAGTGATATTCTTGCTAATTTTTTGTTGTTTTGGAAAAGATATATTTTATAAAATACACTATTTATGCTAACATGCAATGAATTTTTCTCTTTGTAATTAATAAATGGGGCAGTCCTCAATTTGCACAGTTCTATGTACTGTTTCAGTTACTACAATTTATTTACTACCAGCCTATACCAACACAGTTCGAGTTTGACTACCATGGTTCTTTAACTGTGAGTAATTGTTTAAGATGAGATTTTGTTGTTGGCACCATAGTCTACAACTCAGTGTTAATGACATATGCACACCACAATCAGTGACCGCTCACATCACTTGTTTCTAAGTCTGCCTAGCACTGGTCACTCTGCATGTGTTATTAGTTCATGCACAGAAATCAAAACCTGTAGTTGTATAGCTTCCTTGTGTCTTGGTGATAAACCCACATGATGTTTTACAAAATAAGGGTAATTAAAAGAGTGAATTGACCAACAGAGATGAAAATGTGTTGAAGAAACGGAAGTGCTGACACTGTAAGTGAAATTTGAATTGAACTTAAGTTCAATTAACTATTAAAGAAATAGTTAATCACAAGGGTGTCTTGAGTGGCATAGTTGGTTAAATGTTTGACTCTTGGTTTTGGCTCAGATTGTGAACTCAGGGTCCTGAGATTGAGCCCCACATAGTTGGCTTCAGAGTCTCCCTCTCCCTCTACCCCTCCCGCTTTTGCTCTCTTTCTCTTTCAATTTCTCTAACATAAATAAGTAAATCTTAAAAAAAAAAAGAAAGAATTAGTTTATCATGGGAATATTGACATTTCTGCTATTCAAGGGAATTTAGGTATGCAGCTAGAAGAACTTAGTGAAGTTATGTCATAACCACAGAGTGGTTATGACAAAAAATAGGTCCCAGCAAAGTGGTACTGGCAAGCCACTTCACATTATGAGGCCTCCCCAAGATTTTCACAATTGAAAATGCAAAAGGATAAAATGTTGGAAACTGGTCCACACTTAGAAAGGAATAATTTGCCAAGGCATAGAAAATACACTCACTCCATATTTTTAAGTTATCCATTAAGAATGAAAACTACTGGGGCACCTGGGTGGCTCAGTGGGTTAAAGCCTCTGCCTTCGGCTCAGGTCATGGTCCCAGTGTCCTGGGATTGAGCCCCACATCGGGCTCTGTGCTCTGCAGGGAGCCTGCTTCCATCTCTCTATCTGTCTGCCTCTCTGCCTACTTGTGATCTCTGTCTGTCAAATAAATAAATAAAATCTTTAAAAAAAAAAAAAAGAATGCAAACTACTGTTGGTAGTTTTTTTTTTTTTACAAAGAAAACTCCTTAAATTCTCAATATTTCTAATGTTTTAAATTATAGTATACAATATAAATGTTTTACTACTTTTTTTCATTTCCCTACACATTATAACTGGAGACAAAGAGAATTTTTAGTGTAGCGTTTTTAGATGTAATCATATAAAAAAAATCTCTTTATATTACCCTTTATAGTTATCTCCTCTATTTTCTGTCCTGATTGAATAGTATAACCAACAAGACTAAAACCTAAGAAGTAGTTTGTATTCCTTTATCTCCCTCATAGTTTACATTTCTAATTGTTTAAAAATGTCATAGTTTGCCCTATTTCTTCCTTCCTCACTGATTGTCCTTACTTAGGCACTCATTTTTCACCCTTCGTAGGGTATGACTATAAAGGCATGGCATGAGGCAATTGCTTAAGATGACAGAACTGTTCTGTATCCCAGCTTTGATGCTGGTGCATGAATGTTGTTACATGTAAATAATCATAAACTTTTTCTTTTGTCTTGCCGTGGTATTGGCATGTAAATATTTCTTTCCTATTCTTTCATAATAGGGCTTACAAATAAATCAAGTAGTTACTGACAAGGGGTCCTCTCTGCTGAAGCTGAGGAAATTTTAAATGTGCAGAAGATATGTTTCCGCACATTTATACATGTGGCCCTGAAGGAATTTATATTCTAGTAAGATAGATACTACAGATAACAGCAGTAAGATAAACTGTAATTGTCTCCTACAAAGCCCTACAAACAAAATGTTAGTGCTAGGAACGTACAGGAGATAATTCTTCATTGAAGAGGTGGTGTTTGAGCTGAGTCTTGGAAAACACATTGATTATGACAGTCAAAAACAGAGACAAGGGACATTCTGATAAGAAGGAAAAATATAGCAAATATAGATTTGTAATTTTTCCTTTTTATGAAGCTCAGAAAAACTTTGGATCTACACCTCATGCATACTTGCATCCTGTTTCATTCAATTTTGTGCTCTAAAACTCTTAAAAGCATTTGGGTCTGACACTTAAATTTCTTATAAGCTATAGGGTAGCTTTTGAGTTTTTGGATTTAATAATTTAGGTCTTTTTCAAATTCTGATTTTAATGTCCGTGAAGACCATGAGCTATTCCTAAGTCTTATTGTGTTCAATAGATAGGAAGTATGTAACTGAAAGACTGGTATCTATGTAAAATTTTCTATTCATAGAGAAAATTTGAATAAGTAGAGTTTTCAGTATACATAATACTTATGAAGTATCTATAATACTTCCCCAAATTGTTTTCTTTCCATTTTTCCTACTTAGGTGAATGAATCAACTCTTTCTTTCACAGGTTTTCTGTGAAGACCCTGATTGATCGGTCCTGCTTTGAGACAATTGATGATTCTTCTCCTGAATTTAACAATTTTGCAGCTATTTTGGAACAGATTCTAAGTCACCGGCTAAAAGGTAACAGAATCAATGTATTTTTAGTCTCACAACAACTTTCTTTTTTATAAGCTTGAAATTTCAGAATCCATCCAGTCTGGTATGATTTAGATAATAGCCATATTGCATCTTGAGAAACATAAAACTGATTTTAGAATGCCTAGTCTTTTGACCTATCCTTTGTTCCTGGAAATGAATTTCTGTTCTCCAATTTATGCCTGTTTCCAGGGTGCATTAAAAGTGTTGAATGCATTAAGTGTCACATACATGGAGCAGAGTCACTTTCTGTAAGTAACTAAAATGGAAGCTTAAATTAAAAAGTAGCGCATCTTTGAAGGTTACTAGATGGTATTTTAACCAACTTACAAAGAAGCATCCAGGCATTAAGTTTTTTGCTTAATCTCCACTTCATTAAACTTCAGAATCTTTGAAAAACTTTTCACCATAAATAGTTAAAAGAGGTATGTGAAAAATGTGCTCAATTATGGTTTTAAAATAAATCAGTAAATATATTTACATTAGAAAGATAAATCTCTTAAAACTTAAAAGGTAAGATGGGAGCTGTGGTCTCTCAGATTTATGAAATATGTTTACTTTAAAAATACCTGTAAAATACAGATGATAACACGAAGAAATATTATGCAACATAACACTTAGTAGTAATAAATAATAACCTTATTACATTAATTCCATTACCTTGGTCTTCCTAAAGGAAATTTGATCATCAGATTGTTTTCACTTAACTTTTTATTATCTTTACTATCCTAATGGTACAGTTTTAAATCAGTAGTCTGCTTTGGTAATATAACTTATTAGAATCTCAAATTTAAGATAAAGGATAATTCTTTTCTGTAGTTTATGATGCCAAAAGCCTCAAGCTTTACTCCTAAATGTTTATATCAGTTGAGCAGTCCTCTGGACCTATATCAAAGGGTTCAGTCAGCCCTTTGCTGGGAAAACAAAATCTGGATTCAGTCAGCCCTTTGCAATTTAAAATGAGGTCCATAAAATCACTGATGCTTTTCTGTTAAAAGTTTGTTATTTTTGCATTTAAAAAGTTACATTTTTGTTTTTGCTGTCCTGTATTTCCTAAAATTTCTGCCATTAATTTTACCTTTTATAAGAAAATAAGTTTTTATAAAAGCAAAGGATAGGAGAGTATTTTGACATATTGTTTGGGTTACTATATTGTGTGGTGTAATATTTAAAATTTTTACATATAAATTTATAAATAATACATGATTAAAAAAACACATGCAACACAGTAGACCTTGATGTACTTTAATGTTTACAAATATTTTATCATAATACTTCAGTTCCTTTGATTCAGTATACCATTTAGCATATGATTTCCTCACAAAATACATAAGCAGCTATCAGAAGAAAACAGACCATGTTGAGATATCCATGCAAAGTGATTGGGCAGGCTCATGACCACATACATGGACCCCTCCTGCACCCTAGCCTGCCATCTTCTGAATCCTGCCTCAGCAAAGTCTAGATGATAGACCTTTGGAATTACTTAAGTGTCATTTCTGAGAAGCCAGTGAATTACCACGTTGAAAATAGAATCCCTGGTTGATTCATGGATAAGAATTCCACTAGTATGACTAAGACAGTAAGAATGATGAGACAGTGAAATTTATGTTACCTTTTTAAGCTTAGTAAAATTAATTATTTAAAATACATTTTTTAAAAAAAATTCCTGTAGATTAAAATATGGTCACTGTGACTGGTATAGATATGAATCACGCAATGATCTTTAACTTTTGAGATGAAGTATTTTAAAGACTCAAGCGTCTACAGACTTCCATATGTTATTTTAGTATTCTAGCATATAACAAATTGCTTTTACATTTGGAGAAGTTATATAATTATTTTGATAGTACACCAAAATTTAGTATATAACTACTAATTTTTCCAAGGTTTGCCTTTATAGAAGTACAAATTTAAAATGTATAACTTTGTGGGTTTGTGAGATTTACTTTTTGCCAGCTACTTTTTTTTTTTTAATAAAAGGACATTTAGTTTAGATATTAAATTTTTTGGAGAAAGATAAAGTCCACCTCCGGGCACAAAATAAGCTGTATTGATACAGGTAAAGTAGAAAACTCGAAACAGTTATTTCTTTATTCATTTTAAAAGTCCCCTAATTTTTTGAAAGGAAGCTTTTAAAATGACATACATTATCCTGTTTACAGTTACTGTTCAATAAAGTGATAATCTTACTTTTCTGGAATATAGCTGAGAACTAGGAACTAATCACAAAATATAGAATTCAAAGAGACCTCAGTTCAGATCCTACCTAATTTTTGGACTTTTCTTTTTTTTAAAGTATCATCTTTCTCTCCACCCCATCTGCACCTGCCCTAATAGAAAGCAACTGCAGATGCTGGGTATATAAGTGGAATGTCTTGTCTAAGCAGATTGGGGAAATTGGGCATTTTACCTGCTCAGCAGCCATTGTACCCCACCCTACAACCCTATACCGCCACTTCAGGTAGCGCCGTGAGTCACAGATTAAAAATTATTCTAGGCTCTGTCTTGAAGCAATCCACTCAACAATATTTGTGACTGGTGGACATATAATCTTGGTTTTAATACTTCTGATGTGTGGGAACTTAGAATAATAAGGCAGTTTATCACATTTTGGAGCAGTTTAGATTGATAGAAAAATCTTATGTAAATAAAGCCAACCTATCTGACTCTGCTTTGATCTATTTTCGGTCACAATTTTCCAGTTTTGAGCCTAATAAATATTAAAACCTTGCTATTATAGAATCCTTTCTCCTTAGTCCCCCTTTTTCTAGGTAATGTATCTCTAGTTCCTTTAATGTTCTGGAACCACCACTTTCTTTTTCTTCTGGTTTATCAATGGTTTATTAGTATTGCTCTTAAAATCTGATACTAAAAGCTGAGTAAAGGGTTTCAGAGAGGTGAACTCTGTATTAGTTCAGAACTTAAGATTACACTGACTTTTGATTCCCATATCACACTTTGGGTTTACATTGAAATTAAGACTGAGTCAAATCCCATAGTTTTTAAAAAATTGAACTATTCCTTATCTAATGTTTTAGTTAGTACTCTAGTAAGTTGCCTGTGTACAAGTTTGATAGGGATAAATATAGTATTATTTACTTTGTCATCCACTTTAGAGATGGAGGAGCTGGCTCTAAAAAAGAAATTTAGGAGAACTTCTAAAGATGAAGAGGAGATACTTTTCCCTATATCTCTCACTAAGTATATCTAAAACCCTGGACATTATTATATAAAACAAATAAAAGAAAACTCCAAAAGGTAGAGAGAAGAAGGGAGACTTTCTAGGGACTGTATGACTTTGGGAATGACTTGATGGGTTCTTTGATTTTCTGCTTGTCTTGTATATCCAAGACTGAATAAGCCAGTAGACTATAAACAACAGCAGGTACAGAAAGCAAGGCAAAGAGCTTTTACTTTTAATTTTTTTAAAGATTTATTTATTTATTTTAGAGAGCACAAGCAGGAGGTACAAAGGGAGAGGGAGAGAGAATCTCAAGCAGACTCTATACACTGAGCATGGAGCCCAACATAGGGCTCAATCTCAAGACCCCAATATCATGACCTGAGCTGAAACCAAGAGTCAGATGCTTAACCAAGTCACCCAGGCAGCCCAAGGTGGATTACTTTTAGACATTTCCCTCCTCCAGCCAAATGACACAGGAAAAGGGTAGTACCACTCCCACCCAGGCCAAAAAAAGCTAAATGGAGAACTTAGAACTTTCTGTCCTCATGAGATGTAACACTGTCCCACCACCACCATCAGTGTGGTATCAGAGAAGGCCAAGCAGAGAACTGGGACTTCTTCCCTTCTGGCTGGTTGTGAGCCTTCCCTTCCCATTTAACTTCCACTCCCACCATGTTAATAAAGAACCTGGACTTCCATTTCTACCCAGCAGTAATGAGGGGTCATCTCCCTGCCATCTTGAGGCTGATCAGAAGAGACCTGTTGGAGACTTAAGTCTTTCACCATCACCCAGCAGTAACAAGGCTACTCCCAGTTCATTGTCAATGGAGACCATGTAGAAAGCCTGGACTCCCACCTCTACCCAGCAGCAATGAGGACTCCCCACACTCAAATGTCAGTGGAGGCCAACTGGGAAAAGTGGACTTCTTCCTCCACTTGACAGTAATGAAGTTGTGCCCCTTTCTTCTTCCCTTCCACTGCTAGAACTGTCATAGAGAGCCAGTGAAAAGAGAAGTTTTAAATAAGGTCCTGAGACTTACAAAATAAACATGTCCAGGTTTCATTTGAAGATGACTCATCATACCAAGAACTAGGAAGATCTCAAATTGAATGATAAAAGACAATCAATAGTTATCAACACTGAGATGACAGAGATACTAAGTATTAATGACAAAAATCATAAGTTTGGTCATGATAAAAATGCTTTAGTGAGCAGTTACAAACATTCTTGAGACAAATGAAAAAGTAGATAACTTCACCAAAGATATAGAAGATACAAGAAAGAACTAAATAGAAATTTTGTTACTGAGAAATACAAAACCAAAATAAAAAACTCAATGGATAGGCTCAACAGGAAGATGGAGGGGACAGAGAAATCAGTGAACTAGAAGACAGAAACATATCTAAACCACAAAGACTAAAAATAATCCAAAATTTAAAAGTGGACTTAAAGAAAATAAATAGACCTGCAGGGACCTGTGGGACTATAACAAAAGATCTAACTCTTTTCATTCAAGTATCTCTAAGAAGAGAAAGAGGAAGGGACTGAAAATGAGCTAAAAATATATAACTGAAAATTTCCCAAATTTGTCAAGAGATGTAAACATATAGATTTGAAAAACTGAGTGAATCATAATACAAATCCAAAGAAATTCATGCCAAGACATATTATAATTAAACTTTTGAGAAATAAAGACAAAGAGAAAATGTTGAAAGTAGCAGGAGAAATACACTCTATCTGTAAGGGGAAAACAATTTGAATGATAGCAGATCTCTCATCAGAAACCATGGAAGCACT